CCATCATTTTAGAAGCCTTATGCTTTTAGGCGAAGGTTCTTTGAGACTTCACATGCTGTCAGTGACTCCTGCCTTCGTTTCCAATATCTCTGAGTTCTACTTACTAGGATTGGCCTTTGGTTTCTGAAACCTCAGTGCAGCTTGATCTATATAGTTATGGTCAGCGTCTTCAYAGTATTTTAGGGTTTGGAGGACACAGTTCTTTCAGACAGGGTCATTTTAGGTTGTTACTGTTACTGTAAGGAGAAGATGCTGGATTTGGGAGCTGTCTGGTCTAATAGTGTTTCATTAGTGGCACATATGGATATCTCTGTTCAGCAGATCCCTCAGGACTCAGTACGCTGTCAGTGGCATTTTTTCCTGGTCTGGAAAGCACAACATCTCTCGATGACAGGAAATGGCACAATATGGTGTTTCCTTTCTCCACTTCTGCTGAAGGAGTGATTTGCAGTGTGGCAAAGAGATTCCTGCCCTGCCAGGGGCCCCTTGGGAAGTGAAGCTTGGCTGTTATTTCTGTGAGTAGCCTTTTTCAAAAGCACAAATTTTCAGGCGTAGTTGCTCTTGACCTGGGAAGGAAGGTGGAGGGAAGTCGTGCAGAACACATGTTCTTCAGCATCAGCAATAGATGAGGGAGGATCTGATTTTAGCTTCAGGGAACAAAGCTGCCAGCATGTTGCACACAGACTGAATGAAATTGTTGGATTGAAGTATTTTTCAGAGCTGAATTCTACTGCAGTCTGACAATGATTCAGGATGTTCACTGWCATTTTATCATTGTGATTTGATAAGTATTTATATTGGTGATGGTGTTTTGTACACTGTTGTGAGGCCAGATCCGAAGTTTCTTAAATCAGCTGAAAAATTCTCATGGACTTCATGCACTTTTATATGGCAGCCTCTGTGCATCATGTATGCAGGTGGAGGTTTGGAATTTTTTTAAAGAGCTCAGATATTTTATTTTATTGTTTATTTGTTTATTGTATTTTTATTTATTTTTGTTATATCTATATAATTGACAGTATTCAATTAGAATAAAATCTTCTGGGCTTAGGATTCCACAGGATATCCATGCAGTAGAATATGTGTTTTTCCTGTGTAACAGTAATTCAAAACAGGTAATGTTTTTGTCCAAATTACTTCACCTCCTTCTTTGAATTGTCTCTGTCTTCTTAAAATTTGCTCTGAATCATGGCCTTGAACATGAATTCAAAGTAGAAAAATCTCATGAGCAGCCTTACCATCCCTCCCCTTTCATAGATGGGTGATGTCTTTTTCTCCTTTTTCATCYTATTTTCTTTCTCCTTACCGATTGGGAGAGAAAGGAAATTCATTGTATCAAAATTAACTGGTACTTTCTCTGTATTAAGAGCTTAAACAGTGCCAGCATCTAAGAATGCTGCCCTAAATTCCAAGCAGATATGCTATGACTAGGTTTGCAGTACAGAGTCAATAGAGAGTGCTAAAAAGAGAGACCCTAAGCAAGAATCTGAAAATGCATTAGATTTAAGGGATAATAACCCTTTTAAGAACCCTTGTACCTTCTCTACTCACAGTTCAAGATCTGAAAAAAAAGAATTCCTTGCTTGCTACTTGAGAACAATTTGTTATTTGACTATAGTTACACTGTTTTTATCCTGCCACCAGCCAAGGGCAGCAGTTACCCACCAAACATGCAAAAGAAAGATTAATAGCAAGGCTATTGTTTGCTGCTGTGTGGGAGACCTCTGTAACGAGCGGCACTGAAACCCTGTTAGGAGCCCTGATGAAAGTTAAGCCTGCGTTTTGTGGGAATGGCCCGATCTGGCCCAGGCCTGACAGGGCCTCTCGTGCTCAGTAAGTTTCTGTTTATGGGATTTCCAGGGATTTTTCCCATGCCATGTGCATGCAGCTTACCTGCAGGAGAGGACTCAACTCAAATGGATTGCAGGAGATTTATGGAAGTGGTAGAGTGTCCAGGGAAGCACTGTTTTTCCCCAATAGTAGGTCTAATTCTCAAGCAAACTACACTCTCCCACAGAGTAGGATCTATCTGCTTTCAGAAATTTTGTCATCAGGGAGAAGTAGTATATCATATTCTCTGACCTCCTATATAGCACTGGAAATAGGCTTAATAAGAGGATTTCTCTCTAAAATTGTGTTCACTTATTTCCTTTGAGGTTGGAATTAGTTATGCTGTAAAAGGCTGTAATTGATTAGATGTTGCTCTACCCCTCACTAGATATGAGTTTGTCCCATGAGCTGGAAGGAAAATATAAGGTGGTCCCAACTTAACCACGTGGCTTCTTTGCCCCCATAGCAGATTCACTCATTGCATGAAGTAGAAAGAGATCCTGAAATTAAACAATATCATAAAATTACATCAGAATGAAACTTTCAAAAACGAGGTACTTTCATTTTATCTGTCCCTACTTTAAAAAACATTTACTGACCTTGTTCTGATTGTCATCATTCTTGTTTTTCTTTTTAAACATACATAAAATGCAAAATATAACTTGGAAGTCTCTTTTCCCCATGAAATGCAAAATGATGTTCGTTTCTTTCTACATAGACCTGTGCTAAAAAAAAAAAAAAAGAAAGAAAGAAAGAAAAAACACACTGAAATCTTTAGGAGGACTTTCATYCACTTAGGCTTTCTAAAAAGAACCAGAATGGGAGCAGAAGTATCATTTCCTGCCTGTCCCTGAATGTGGATCTACCAGCACTTGCACTGGTCTTTGGGGTCTGTAAAGCTACTCTCTCTCCCCTATCTTTGGGTTCCTAGAAGTCCCAAAGCTAATTTCAGTTTTAATTTACTAGGAAGAAAGGAAAAAGAGGTGTTATATCTAGATATAACATTTATGTTTTATCTCTTGCAACTCAAACTGGAGTCTAAGAGGTAGAGCCTAAGTTCTGTATCTCTTCAGAAACTTATGGCAAGCTCTTGTTTTAATCAGATGGTAATGGAGTTCTTTCTAATGGAATACTCTTCATCTCATGGGAAACATCCTAGGTTTGAAAGCAGATGGAGCAGATGGTTTGAAAACAAAACTACATAGTATATAGATTATGTACTTTTTTCTTTTAAATGTTCGAAGAATTTGAGTGTCCAAATATAAGTAGCTCCTAGGCAGCTATAAAATGAGAAACTGGCATTTGCATAGCAAGCTCCGTAATATGTTATTGACCTTGGTAATATTACAAGAGTCGTTTTCACACAAAGCATTTTTAATGGAGTATCTATAATGCATTAGCCACTGATACTCTTGCCTTGCATCAGGCATTCAGATCCTTATGTCCATTTTCCTTTCCGCTGTACTTGAGTTACAGTCAAATTACAGGGAAAAGTTCTGCTCTTCATTACTGTATTTTTTCATCTCTGACCCTTTTGCATTCCTCTCATCTTGGAAAAGCTCTGTATCAGAGTAAGGCTTTCATAAAATGCACATCACTGCAGAGCCTAAGCAGGTAAGGGGAGTAGGTGTCCTTATGTCGCTTGGAAAAGCACCTCAGTAATTGTAAATACCTCAGTATTACAATGGTTATACCTCAGTATCACAATTCTTCAATCTTTTTGTACAAGAAGGGTCTTGAGATTGATTAACTTTCACTTTGACRTGATAGASTAGAGAACATGCTCTTGTGCAATCTCTCCAGAGAGTGAGTTAGCATTGACAATAGCATGGCTGAGTTTACTAAACACAGGAGATAGCAGTAATTATACAGCTTTAAGAAACTTACATTTAATCTATTTCAATAACTTGTTAGTTTTTAAGGGTGATTCATTGGCAGATGTTGATGTTGCTGCAGAAGGACCCATGTAAATTGAGCATGACTGGTGATATGGCTGTTTTTGGCAGAACTTGGTAACACTGTTCACCATATCTTTAAAAACTGCAGTTAAAAAAAGAAATAAGAGGAATTTGTAATTTTGGTGACTGACATTATTCGGTGTGTCTGCATGACTTGCTGGCTTTAGTGAGGAGTGAAGATGCTTTCCTTTGGCCTCTTCTAAGGGGAACAGTGATTAATCTAGTATTTGTCTTATAAGAAAGGTGCTCAGGAGGTATCGTTCTTTTCCTGTCTCTGTCACAGATTCTGGCCGATTTCTTGCATATGAAATATGCCTTCTTGAGGGGGGCAAAATAAAATAACTTCGGGACCCAGGGAATGAGTGGGCACCTTTGAAAAATTTGCTGTGAACACAATGATTTTTGCACTTCTGGGTTGGGGGATTTGAAGTATTTTGCAGGGTTCCTGGAGGGCTCTGTGAGTGTTTGCAGAGCGCTTTGGAGACATTAGCACAGCACGTTGCACTGCAGCACAAAGAACAAAGTCTTTACTTGAGACCACACCTCTGGAGCATTCCTACATTTTGTGGCAGTCCCATATGACGACAGTCCATTAAGAGATCTGATTTCCCCAGCTGTTATCCCATTACTCTCTCTCCCCCTGGAAATTTTATCTGTATGAAAAGGAATTTGTTCATTTCTCCCAGATGTCTCCAAACCGTGTCAGAGCTGTTGTATGGGCTCTTCATTGACATATGCACTGCATGATGTTTGGGCCCAGAGCTCTATTTACAAGATGGTTTATGGAACCAGCAATATGTGAAGTGCTACATTATTCAGTGGAGACCATAACTGCTCACCTTATCATAAAAATACTATTACAGTGATTTCTGCCTGCAAATTTTAGATTACTGTGAATTCATCTAGCATAGTGAGGTAGAAATCATTAAGAAAAAGAGAAAAAATCATGTTTTGTTAATCAGTATATGAAAGGAAACCCTTCTTCTTCTGTTTGTTTACCAGTAATATGCAACGTTGATAAATTACTCCTGTCACAGGCTACCATCAAACCTGTTTGACCTACTGTGACTCCCCATTGCACTTGGCAATTGAATGTAGTACATACAGCATGTAATTAATGAAATGTTTTTTTGTTCATCCTTTCAGTTAATTCTGTGTGTTCTTTTTTCCCCCCTTGCCCCCTTTGTGCTGCACGGCTGATAACCACCCTAGGACCTTGCAATGGGACACAGACCCCTCAGTGCTGCAGCTCCAGTCTGACTCTGAACTTGGGTATATGTCAGCTCTTTTGTTATTCATTTATCATTTATTTGCAAGAATTATGTTGAAAATGCTTCCCCGTTGAGCTGTTTTTATGTGATTTTCTTTTGCTTTGTTCACTCAAAAAAACATAATTTAAGTTTCCTTTTTTTAGTAGCATCAATGAGAAGCTTCAGCAAAGCCATATTTGTGGGAAAAAAMCCAACTATTTTAAAGAAGTTCATGAAAAGATAAGCTGCTATTTATGTTGCCTGAAAAGCAATACAAATAACGATTTCATTACAGATGAAATGTTATTTTCGTGGCACTTTAATGTGCATTTATAGTTTCACTGATCTTGTACCTATCGATTCAGACTTTTCTTTCTGAATCATTTGCAAGGTACTTCTTCCCCTCCCTTATGTCTTTGCCATAGTTATGTTGTTTCCACATGCAATAACAATTATCTCTTTTTCCTTAGGATCCTATAAAGGATTTCCTTTATACATGCTTACGATTTTGTTGTTAAATATGATCATAGTTTGAGGGTTGTGTTTTCAGTTGAGTTCAGATTAATCAATAAGTATTTTCTAGCTTGGGATGGAACTTCTCTACCCAACACATCTGAAAAAAAATGCTGTAGATAACAGAATCTAACTGTTAGCCAGCTGCACCTAATGTGTTTAAAATGTGAAAGGACACTGTATAAAAAGGATCAAAAGTGTTCCTTGCAAATGCAGAACAGTATCAAGAAAAGTCTGTGAGTGTGCAAAGCTTATCTACTGTGGGCAAAATCAAAYCCTTGTGCTGCTGAAGGTGCTCTCCCGATGAGCTTAGAGGCTTCCCTCTCTGGATCGTCAGACAAGTGTTTCGTGCTTCTGCTGTTCCTTAGTGYTTTCTCTCTGGCAATTCCTGTGAAATTCAGCATGCTGTTGGCTGTAAGGGAAACTACAATTTCCTTTAATTATTGATTGATAGTACCCCAGAGAGAGGCACTGGCATCAGAGCTATTAACTGTGAAAGAAGATCAAAAAGAGTGAAAATCCTCCATGTAGCGCATTACAAAGAGTTTCTCTGCCTCCAGAACTGCTAGAAATCTTTGTAGTTTCCACTTGAGAGCGGCCYCAAACAGATCCATATTCTCCTTTACTTAAGTAATACCAAAATGGCAGAGTTAATYGAGCTGTTTTAACATACAGACACTTTGCAGGGAGCTTACCTGTTTTTTCCAGAAGCTGAGATTGAAAGATGAATGCTCCCAGAAGCAACGCTCCTCAAATGGGTAGGCAAGGCAAGGCAAGATGCTTTATTTGACCCATGGATAGGTAAAACAGTGTATACCCACAAGACTTCAATATCTTTTATGAACGGCCAGTGCAGAGACAGAAAAGAATGCCAAAAAGATTGAATCCACATATTGCTGAGTGTACTGCATAACCTGAATCCTGCCCCCTTTGAAAGAAAAGAGTCTTGGAAACCAAGGCAAGGAAGGATTAGACTTATGACTGGTGACATGAGAATAAATAMTAAATGTACACATATAAAAGAAATTCTGTAGTCAGCATATAAATGCTGCATAGCTTAATACTTTTATCAGACCCTTGTCAGGAAGCTCTTTCAATGCAAAGTTTATTTCTGTCTTTAGCAGCCTGAGATAGCCATGGATGCCTGAACTAGGAAAGATTAGTTGACCAAGTAGACAAGTTGRCCAAGTAGTTTGAAATCTGCTAGTGAAGGAGGAAAAACTGTGATTTTGCTGGGGTGTTGTTTCTTAAAGCTTGAATTCACATCATCCCTCACTTAAAGCAGCTACAGAGAAGTAACAGGGTACTGAGACTTCTTCCAGCTGCTACAGTTTCTCAAAGTGTCACAAGGTGCAGAAGTTTTTTTGYCCTCATGCAGGATTTTCAGACAATCATTTCTTTTGTTCTTACTGGCACCATCACAAACTACTGTAAGAGTGACAGCTTGTTAATTTTTCCTTTTTCAAAAGAAGACAGACTCAAAACTGTAACAACTGTTACTGCTGTAGTGACTTGCTACGTGACGTGGCTCATTCATACTGAATCTAATTGCATTCAGCTTAATAACAGTCAGCCAGGAAAATAGATTAAAAAATATATAGCTGATGTAGCATTAATCATCTGAAGAGTTTAGCAGGTGTCATCCAGTGATGCCAGTTTCCTTTCAAGACTCTCATTTCCTTTCAGACATCAGTCTTAATTGAATACCTAAACCACTATAAAAGATAAAAAGCCTTTGACCTCTGTTCTTCTGACAATCTAGAAGAGAGAAAGGATAATGGACAGTGTGTTTCAATTTGCTACTTTTCCAAATTAGTTTCCGTAATAGCATGGCACTTCAAAATCATTACATCCATGAATCTATTTMCCATAAATGTATAAGCATGCTTATGCATGTTGATTTTAACAACTAGATTTATTTATCTGATCCATTTATTATTTTCTTATTTGTTTCTCTCATAAACACTAGCATTTTTTTCCAGTACAACATTTGCTGGTAAACGTTTGTTTTTCTTCCCTCTACACATAATCAAATAATATTCAGGAAACAATTTGATTTTTCCCCAAATATTGAGTAAATTGTGTATGACTAGAAGGGTTCATGATCACAGTACTCTTTGGCTTTACTGATTTATTTCATGTGTTTTACTGAAAGCTAGGAAAGCAGTAGAAAAGACTACATTTGCTCTGTTCCTGCTCCGTCTCTGATGCTCCCCTGCAATCATTGCACTAGCACAATAGCAATCATGAACCTACAATTCCATTTCTAACGATCCACTAGAAGGGAAGAATCTCCTCCTTTATGGAAATTACCCACCTTGCTGGGTAAAGGCTGGGTCATTGCTCTTAGATGGACATCTGAGAGATGCTCATTTCCTCTCATTTCTAATCCAGCCTATCTTGTTTTGGCTTGATTTCTAATCTATCTTAATTTCTAATCTAGCCTATCACGTGTTCTAGGTGACCCTGCGTGAGCAAGGGGGTTGGACTAGATGACCTCTGAGGTCCCTTCCAACCTTAAGCATTCTATGATTCTATGAAGATTAACTCTCCTGAGCAGGCAGAACATTGCAACAGGACAGGTGTGATACAGAAGACTGTATTTTTGCATAGATAGGAGGGATATGAGCAGATCATTTCTGTGTCCTATTTACAGTCTCTTTCAGCTACCTGATCTAGGTCTAGAGAGGTTGGTTAACAATAATTTAACATAGTATATTGTTGCCAGGTTAATTTTCTTCAGTGCAATTAGATGCTTCTCATAATGTATTTTGTTTCATTTTAGAAAACATATTTTTCTCTATCCTCTTCATAAAAACTATTGCTTTTCTTCCTGCTGCTGCTTGGTACTTACATGACTAACTTTTTGTTGTTATATATTCAATCTTAGACGCAGACTGCACAAACTAGGCGTGTCAAAGATTACCCAGGTTGATTTCTTACCTCGGGAGGTGGTGTCCTACTCCAAGGAGACCCAGACACCTCTTGCCACACACCAGTCTGAAGGTAAGATACTTACTATTTCCCTCCTCCTCCTGCAAAGAATTCTCATAGAAAATAAGCCTTTGAGTGAGACTTGAGGAATGTAAGAAAAATAATAGTAAATCATAATATAACTGCTAATCACATTTTCTGCAAGTCGGGTATTGTTTATGTGATTAATAGCTGTTCTGGTGAGAATAATTACAATAATGGCTTTAAATTCAGGTGGAACCAAACTGCTGCCTTGAAACGGATTGTGCTTAGATAACAATATAATGGAACATATTTTCAAATAAGTCATTTTGAATATAATTATCCAACTGCTACTTAAACTACATGATTGCTAGTGCTGTACTGGAAAAATTGATTGTAGAAACTGAAACCAGTTAAACTGAATGCAAAACTACATATTAGCCTGGTATAATTTACACATTATTAGAAAGCAGGTAACAGAAAAAAACAGAAAACAATCTTGAAAAGATCCATTCTGAAAAAAAAGAGAGCAGTATCTGAGACATGACTGTAAATGTTGCTGTTAAGGGTGAAGATAATGTAGAAGCTCACCAGGTTCCATATAGAAGAAGAATATTCAAATAAGTTGCAAAAGGTATAGGAGTAAATCTGCTTTAATATAAGTTACTGCTGGTAATAAACATATCCAGCCTTTTTTCTACAAYTACATTACCATTTCTGCCTTTAAAAGCTTAGGATTCCTCTAGCAGGAGGAGTACCACAGATTTACCTTCTAAGCCTTAGACATCCGTTATCTGAAATTGTGCCTTCTTGCATCACCATCCTGTATCCTGATGCTGCTTCCTGAGCAGTATTCCTTGGTGGCTTTGCCTCTCTGGGAAGAGGCAGAGGGAGAAGCCATCTCAGGAACCTCCGTAGTTCCGTCCAGCTGCTCTCTGCTTGTGTGTCTGAGAGCTGCTGGAGCCCTGAGGAAAGGAGGTCTGTTGTGGAGGCCATGCCTTGGTGACTTGGTATCAGGAGGTTGACACACTTGGAGCATCTTCMTAGCCGTTGTTCAAGAAGATGATTCCTCCATGACAAAATGCCCTGACCCACTACAAAAGCCTGTTGGTGCAGGGAATAAAAGATATATTTTTGATGCGTTTACCACTCTCAGACTTGGAACTCTGGTGCTCAATAGCTGCTCTGCATTTCTGAACAAGCCAACATCTCTTCTTCCAATAAATTATTTTTAAAGCTTTTTTACAAGGAGCACTTCAATTATTACAAAATCCTTTCCTTTTGTGGACAAGAGGACGACCTCCTACCCTGCAAGGAACAAGAAGCATTGTGTGGCTGTGGAACCTGGCAGCCAGGATGGCAAGCACAGAGGGTAACATGAGTCTGCCTTGATTCCTCGACATAAAGGAAGTCTTCTTCCTCCCATTCTTGTTGGGAAATAAGCACAAGTCTAAGGTGATGGGCCTCAGACTCCTGAGGCCAAAGCTGTGAAGAAAAAAAGTCAGAAGGAAATACGTGTWTTTTATGACTGGTTTTACAATCTTCATTTGTCACAGACAAGAAAACAGTATCAACAAAATTTTAATGTTCAAACACAGTGAAAATAACACCCAAACACATAMCTCAGATGAATGTTAGAGAAAAGGAAGTGTCAGGGAATTTGGTTAGTCCATTGAAATGGCAATTAATTGGAAATTCTGTAGGGAGGAAATAAGCTCCATGATTTTGATCTCTGAAGTGTTTTGAAAAATTAACTTCCAATTTTTTAAATCTCTTAAACCTCTTTGTGAATGCTGAGCCCTTTATGGTGTGATTGTGAGCATGTAACAGGCAAATAGAGCAGAACTGTTTTGAGAAGTTTCTACACTGTTCTTACGCGTCAATATGATAAAATATAGCCATATCTTAAGAGTTTAACTTCTACTATGTTTATTGCTCATTTTATTCACTCTGAAGTGCCTCAGAGTTTAAGAAAAGAAAAAATAAAACAAACGCTTTGCTGTTTGTCTGACTTTAGCTTTCAGAATTMTTTGGCTGCGTGCCTTGGTTACTGGAAATATCAAAATGCAGAATTCTAGGATGAGCCTGTCACAAACTTGCTTCTGGGTTGGAAAATACAACTGATAGAGCTCTACAGCTGGATGGAAAAAAGATTGCCTGTAATATTAAGTCACCAAGAGAGGAATTAGTGTWCTTTCAAAGTTCTGAAGCCTTTTGAAATGTCATTATCAGGTTTTGCAGAGTACCTTAGAGGAATTGCTGTTTGGAGCTTGAGGGATGTGGGCCCTGTCTGTGATAATGGCTGTGCCCAGCAGTCTGTATCAAACTAGTAAAGGAGAGCCTCATTGTGCTAATGCAGTGTGGTGCCAGAGAGCCAGATGCTGTAAACACTGAAGTCTCAGGTAGTCGGCTGCTGATTTTAGAAGACATAATGTGGCATTATTCTTCACTGCATCAAAACAGATTAACTCCTCTTTTCCGAACAGGTAATTCTCTTTTTCTCTTTATTTCAGAGAAATAATGACATGCCATTTCCTCTGCCTACTCTGTTATTTAGGGAGATGTGTATATGCATCTTTCAGCTCTTTGATCAAAGTACCTAATACTTTTGCTTTATTTAGGTCACAGTAAACTGTGGCTTCCAAAAAAAAAAAAAAAAAAAAAAAAAAAAAAGAAAACCCCACCCAGATCTTGGCTCTGGAACCTGAAGAAAAAGAAGAAAAATAACGTGCTCTCTATTTTTCCCCTCCTCCTCCTCTAATTGAACTTGAATTTAGGTATTCACAGACACTTGAAATACACTTCCCTTCTACTGCCTTTTCCATTGTGAAGTCAATGAAGATCTAGGTTGTGCCAAGGATTTTCTGAAAGATCTCTGGGGCATGCTCCTTCGCTGTGTGGAGATGCTCACCCAGCCSTATGATAGCAGACCCATGTAACCTTTGATGTTGGACCTTCCCAAGTATCTCACAGCTGCTTTCCTGACAGCACAGCTAGGAGAAAGCAGCAAGGAGAAGGTTGTGGCCTGACCTCTTCCCAGGATGAATTTCTCCCTGCCGTGCTGTGAAGGAAGGATGTCTGTGTGTCTGCACACAAGCTGACTTTACAGATAGGAATCCAGTTGGGCATTGAAGCCTTACTGGGTGCCTCTGTCAGTTCCAAGCCACTGTTCTCATCCTCTCCAATGGGCCAAGAGGTAAAACCTCTGAGTGGGACACAGCACACTTCCCTGTGATGGGAAGAGATCGATCCCTGTGAGCTGGCTCCCCGCAAAACCAAGGGGAGAGCAAGAAGGTGGAGGTTTGTGAGTTCTCTGGCTTTGTCACCCAGTATCAGTAATGTCATTATTTGTTTATCGTGAGGTTGAGACTACTTTCTGGTTGATAAAATCAGCTATTTCACATTTCTGGCTTGCCAAACTATCATTGCAAATAGGATAGTCTGAAATGCATTGCTGAAAAAGTAGATCTTTTATACAGAGGAATGAGATCTGAACTTCTAGTAGAGTGGAAGTCCTTTGTACAGATCGGAAAGGTTTATCACCTTTGACAAATGGTTGYCCATGTGAGGAAAAGTAGTCCACCATGTTCACCTCAGGAGCAGGATAACATCTTCCTCCATCACCAACCTTTGTCTGGTTTTGTCAAAGAAAACAATTCAGAGCCCCTGCCTGTTTATGCTCAAATAGAGATGACATTTTAGCATCTGGGGAAAGAAGGAAAATGAGCTCAGTATTCAGTTGGAAAGACACCAGAACAGGTGGCAAAACAGAGGTGAAACTCAGAGGCTAATAGCTGGGTTCAGTTCTCATCTCTCCTTGATACTGTAATTCTCTGAATTAATGTTCCTGAAAGCTATATTTTTTAAAGCGCTGAGCAAGGCCATTGTGATCACTGCCTGAGGCTTGTAAGACCAAGACATGAGTTCAGGTATTGTTGTGTGTTACCAAATGCAGGTGACTACTGTGAGATAAAGCAGAACTCTCTTTAGGCTCCACTGACTGCCTTAACTTGCTCTTCGGTGACTAGTTTAAGAGCAGATTGCTACAGGTAGACAAGTAAAGGTAGGTTTCTCATGCTGAGTATTGTGTCCCATCGTGAGCTTCGATAACTGAATGAGGAATTACCTATGACTAAAACTGACAAAGCCATTGCAGTAAAAAAAGTGAATCAGGCTTCTGRAAGTCCCAGCACTTAAATCTAGAGATAAAATTGGTTTTACTTCTGATTTCTAAGGGTTGATGTTCTCAGGTTTAAGCCTAGAAAAGTTCTCAGGTTTAAGTCTATCTCACAAGACAACATACACAGCAAATTCTGTAACTTGCACCTGACTGCAGCTCAGCTCCAGCTCTGAGAAGTACTTAAGAAAGTGCTGTGCTTAGGAAAAGCCAGTCTCAGAAATGAGCTAGATTGAACTTGAGTTTCCCATGCCCAGTTTCTTTAGAGCTCTTGGATCAGAAACWGGGTGTTGAAGAGTTTATTTAGGCTTTTGCTTTCAGTGATTCTCAGAGATCACTGTGAAATGTGTGAGACAAGCCTGGACGCAAGAATATCTCTGAACCCCTCATTTAATGGGAGATATAGATGCCCATTTGTGCATCGTCAAACATGCAGCATATATATCAGGATGTGTGAAAGCTTAATGGAAAGGTTGGGAGAACATTAGACATGATTAGGCTGGGAAAGCAGACATTCTGTCTTGAAAACAAAAGATGGTGTTGGAAAGCAGAGCAGAACTGGGGTATGTATAATTAGTTCCTAAAGAGGAATCACTGCTAATGTATCAGTTCTGTTTTTATATTTACAGAGACAGCGCCTTATTAGTATCACTAATGGACACTAATTTTCTAAGAAAAATATTATGGTCTCTCATAGGCAGTATCATGTATCTGCTGGGTGGTTTTAATTAGCTATAAAAAGCTTCTTTCCCTTTTCTTCTCAAACCTCAGTGCATCCGAATCATCCTGTGGCTCTCAATAGCTGGCATAAACACCCTAATTCAAAACCGCTTTGTTTGATTAAATCAACAAAGCTTTTTCTGTGCTGTTGTAC